GGGGGGGGGGGGGGGGGGCGCCCCCCCCCCCCCCCCCCGCCGCGGGTCCTCCTGGACTCCCTCGCCGGTGCTGGGCGAGCCAAGTTCCCTCGGCGGCACGCGGGCCGGGCGGTCGCTCGTCCTCCCGGAATCCCCCTTGGCAGGCCGCCGCTTCTGCCCTCCACGACCCCCAGGCAGCCCCTCTGCTCTTGGGCGGCATGAGACCCTGGGAGCCTGTTTTGTCCCCTGGAGCGTCTCTGCAGCAGAAGCTGGTTGGGCTTAAAGGCGTGTTTCAAACAGACTGAAGGAGAGAGCCCCCTCCTCCCCCTCCCTCCTGGCACCCCTTCCATTTTCCTGCCCCCCAGACAGCCAGTCGCCCTGAGTTTTGCTCCCCGATTCAGTGGCTTCCTTCCTCCTCCTCCTTCCTCTTCCAGGGCATCTACTTAAAGCATCTGTTGCCATGGTACCAGCATTCACATCTCCAACTTCTTGGAGAGCCCAGTGGAGGAGGCTGCCCTAAAGTTGCCAGAGAGCACAAGAGGGCCCAGGCCTCCAGGAAGCCTGCCCTGCCTATCAGCCTGTCCGGGCACCCTTGCTCTGTGGGATGTTTGGCCAGCTAAGAGCCTGCCAGCCTCAGGGTCTCCCATGGGGAAATCAGCCTCCGGGTGGATTTGCTGCATCCCTGGGCATCCCTGTGTGTCCCAAGTAACTGGGGGGTCCCTTTTGTAAGGTTTTGTAAGGTTAAAATACAATGCATAGGTGAATTTAAAAAAAACAAAATTGCACAGTTCTGTCGGGAGGGGGGCTGGTTTCCTTGCACTCCCAAGTCATACAGAGCTGGGACCCTCTGGGAGTGACTTTCAAGTGGCTGGTGCTGTTCCCAGGGTTGTCCTTTGGCATCAGCATATGTAGTCAGTACAGCCGTCAAACTCTAAGCACCCCTTCAGTCCCAAGGATGTTGCACCTGCAGAAAAACCAGCTGCCACACGCAAAGGGGGACAGCAGAGTCTCCCAGGGGGCTAATACCTTTGCAAGGGGATCCCGGGAACCCCCCTCCCAAGGAATGGCAGCAGGAAGAAGGCCCAAATAAGCAGAGGCCAGGACCTGCCTGCCCCTCATCCCTTGGGTCACAGGCCTTTTGACTGCACAACATGCAGTCAACTTTCTCTGCCACTTCGTGTGATTCTGGGCCATCAGTTGGTGGCGTAATATGCACAATAAAATCATATTAGTGTACACAAATGTAAGTCGGCAGAGTTTTGCATCACTTTAAGGCAGAGAGTAAACAGACGCATCATGGTTTCTTAACCGTGGTTTGTGGACTAAACTATGGCCCTTCTGGAGAAAGATTTGGCTGTGATTTCCTATTAAATGATTTTAAATTTTAGTTGTATTTGTTTATTTTGCTTTATTTTTATTTATTATATGCCATCTGGAATTGCTATGTCTGAGTTGGGTGCTCACATGGATTCTTTAAGTAAATCCCAAGTGATACTCTTAGCAATATCTACCCCAGTGGAGGTGTATCTGGAAATGCATCAGAACAGGTTACAATTCTCCCTCATTCCTAGTTGGGTTGCTGGAATTAAGAGGGTTGGATCTGGAAAACCAGGACTCCTGGATCCTGAATCAGGGAATTTCCAGAGAATTGAACAGTCAAGTGACATCCAAAGTAGCTGGAAAACTTAAAAGATACTCCCCCCCCATCCTTCCCAGAATTGTAAGCTTATTAATTAGCACTCTTCATTTATTGTGTGCCTCTGAAATAAGTAGGATTTAAACTATTTGTTTAAAATATGCTGCTTTATGTATATACAGGGTTCACTCATGAATAGCAAGGGCCATTTTCAAAACAACATCCTAAAGTCACTGGACTAAGCCAGCTGGCAGAAGCAACTTCCTCCCATGCTGGAAATGTGTCCAGTTTTCCAGTTTTCCTTGAAAGCCCATTTCTGGGTTACTCCTTTTTGTTCCAGGGAAGGAGTGAAGTTTTGTGCCACATTTGAACACCACGATCAGTTTATGAAATGAATGTGGAGATGGGACTTGGCTCTTGGTCATCGCAGACTCAGTGTTTGAAGGGGAGGCAGTGTGGCTGAGGCCTCCTGCTTACACTCCTCTCTGGGTTTGGGAGACCTGGGAAAACCTGCACTGAGCAGCCACCAAGGCACCCCAGCAGATACCTCTCCCTTGCCCTCTGCTGATGCTCCCTCCTGGAGGTCAACTGCCCAGTAACATGGGCCTTGGTGTTCTTGGCAGGTGGGAGCTGGATCTAGGAGCCGATGTTGCAACCCCTAAAGTGCAGATAACCGATGAGGGCGTTAACACCAGATGTCCCCGTCAGGCACGAGCTGACTGGCACTACGTCCACTCTCCTCCTTCCCCCTTGCAGCACCGGGGGCGGGTTTGTAGCCCCGGGGTCAGCGAGCCCCAAACTGCTCCCCCTCTGGAAGATGGTGGGACACCCTCCACCTCTGGGGAAACTAGCCCGGGGGCAGTTTTCTGGCTTAGCACACACGGAGCCGGCCTCACTCGTAGGGTTGACCCAGGACTCCGCGGTTGGCGGAGACTGCGCAGCAGAACCTGAATTCTGCCTGCCGATGAGGCGCCCTCCGTCCCCGGCCCAAGGGGGGCTCCAGCGGCAGCGCAGCGCAGGATCGGGCTGGAGGGGAGATGGACACTTGGCGCGGGTCCTCCGTGCCCCAAACCTGCCCGGCGCCCCCCATGCTTCGGCCGTACGGGAACTGCAGTGGCGTATCGCGGGGAGAGGGGGCGCCTGCCCCATTTTTCGCTGGAGGACACCGAGCAAGACGAAGTAGCGGAGACGGCGGTGGCCGCGGCTCTCGTCTCCAGGGGGCGCCCACGAGTAGCAGAGGAGGAAGGCTCTGGACGGACGAGTCCTGCTCTGGCATCCACGCTCTATGGTACTTTCCCGCCCTCCGTCAGGGGAGGAGCGCGGAGAAGTCGCGCGCAAGGCCGGCGTGTCAGTTCTCGTTCTTTTTTTGCTCCGCCCCCGTAGGGCTTTTGTCGGAAGCCCCGCGCGAGTTGCCTTCTGCGCCTGCGCGGCTGCAGCCTGAGGGGACCCATCTCTGAGGAGACGCCGCCGCCGCCATGGCTACGACGTTGGCCAAGATCGCCGAGATCGAGGCGGAGGTAACGGGGGAGCGACGGGCTGCTGGCTCCTGGGGGGGGAGGGGAGGGGGAGCCGTGGCGTGGCGGTGGAACCTTCCGCATAGGTGCAGTCTACCGGCCAGATGTGAGCAGGGCGGTGACGACGGGGAGCCCCCTCAGCTCTTCTTCGCCGCCCCGGGGAGCCTCCGGACAGGAGTCCCGAAGGGCCTTGCGGCCTCCGGGTGCCAGCAATGGGGATCCGGGGACGCCGCTGAAGATGTCGGTCAACGAGGCAGGGCGGAGGATGCGCTGCTGCCACTTTCACTCGGGGAGCCGCAAAAAAGGCCGAAGCGGCGGCGACGATGAGGTCTCCGTCCCTCCTTTGAGGATCAACTCGGGGCAGCGAACTGTCCCCAAATCCCTCAGCCGGCTGTCGTGCCGAACGCAGAACTAGAACCCAGACCCTCCGGCTTCTAGGCCAGCAGCCGCGCCACATCGGTGCTTCCCCGGGCAGAAAACGCCTCGCCCGGCCCCCAGGTTGCCTGCTGACCCTGACCCCCCCTCTTTTCCAGATGGCTCGCACCCAAAAGAATAAAGCCACGGCCCACCACTTGGGGCTGTTGAAAGCCCGCCTGGCCAAGCTGCGTCGAGAGCTGATCACCCCAAAAGGAGGCGGAGGGAGCGGAACTGGAGAAGGTGCGTGGGCCCTTTCAGAAGGAAGGAGCAAGAGCATGGCGTCCCTGGCTAGGGATGTGAATACTCTTCCAGAAGCCTTTTTGGTAACCAGGGCAGAATCAGCCACATGGCACCTGTGTGACCCTAAGATCTAAAAGAAACGGAAGGCATGCCCAATTTTGTGAGGTGGGCTGACCGTGTTTCTAACAGTCCCAACTATCAATCTACCAATCTCTCTATTGGTAAAAAGAGACTAAACCAAAATCGAAGTAGTTGTGGCCTGTCTATTGGTATAGGGAATAACTGCCTCTACGGAACAGCCAATTCTTTCCTTTTCAGTTGAATGTGTCAAAATGTCCATTGTGTCCACATATAAATACATTCAGATTCAGGTGTGTCATGTCCACACAATTCTATTGTTAGCTGAAGTGTAAAATTATTGTCAGCCATATTATGCTAGTATAAATTGTAGTAACACACGTAAACTGAATTGAGCACATTCCTGTTGGTTTATTTGAAAAACGTAAGTGAAGGGTGTAGAATTTTAAACAATTTGGTTAATATAGGATCAGGCTCTCCTTTGGGGATAGATTTGAGAAGTGGGCCCCAAATTGCTGGAGGGAGGGACAGCTGTGGGCCTTCCTCTTGCCCAAGATGATGCCAAGGTGGCACAGTTTCTCTGCTTTGACTTTTCTGATAGAGGCTTTCTGGGGCCAATCGATTACTCTGAATTAATGATCACTTGGTAGGTTTTGATGTGGCAAAGACTGGCGATGCCCGGATTGGTTTTGTGGGCTTCCCTTCGGTGGGAAAATCTACTCTGCTGAGCAATCTTGCTGGTGTTTACTCAGAAGTAGCTGCGTACGAGTTTACAACTCTAACCACAGTTCCAGGAGTGATCCGGTACAAAGGAGCCAAAATACAGGTGAGGCCTATGAAGCCAAGACTTGTGCCTGTACATGCCTTTTATTTCACACAGAAGTGTATGTATCCTTAGCAAATCCAGAGCAGTAGAGATGCATATAACTGTCGAATAGCTTTCTTTGCTGATTGACAATTCTAGGAACTTGCTTTCTAGGTATGTAAGCCAGACAGTGGTGTATTGCAAGGTAGGCAACTTATAGCTCTCTGATTTTTCATGAACTATGAAGCTAACTTTAGCTGATCTTAAAGACAATGATAAAGCATGTTTGACAAATAGGTAGAAAGATGATTCCAAAATTCCACGACTTGTAAACTAAGCTGACTGTCCAGTATTGGCCAGAGGTGTTTGGCATCATCTGTGGGGTATGTTTCCAAACAGAATTGCAAGCAGTATCTTTGAGAAACTGAGAGCCTTTCAAACCTGATCTAGTGGGATTTTAATTGAATCTGTGAAGGGAGGAGATCACCTTCCCCCATACATAGTGTGATCCCTGGAGTTACAAGAGGTAGTCAGAATGCAGAGGTTGCCAATAAGGACTGGAAGGAATAGATCAAGTCACATGATCCATTGGTAGGTTCTGCATGCAGACTAGGAAACCATTCTGATGCTATGAATTATAAGGGATGTTCTAGATAGAAGATGGGTGCAATCTCACAGAAAGTTAAGGTTCCAGTGCAAAAGGAACTTAGGTTTAGGGCTCTTCTGTCAGCAGAAAAGGAAGGGAAACTCGGGTTTCAGCGTTACTGCTAAGAGAAGATGGTAAAACAGGAACAGGGGGTACATCAGCTTGTGTACCCTTTTAAATGTTCAATATTTCTGATAAATATGACCTAAAACATGATCTGTTTTCCACACAAGTCCCAAACTAAATAAAGAAAATGCAAGCAAATGAATTTAAAATATTGTACTTGCTTGTTGATTTATTGGGAAAAATGATCCAAAGCTATGTATTTGTATGTGGCAAAAATATGTGACCCTTTGATTTCAGGCTCTCCTGTGCTCACCCCCTACCCCCCCCGGGCAGCAATAACTGCAACTGAATGTTTCTGATAATTGTTGTCCAGTCTTGTACATCATCTTGGAACTGGAGCCCCTTTCTCCTTACAGAACAGCTTCAGCTCAGAAATGCTGCTGGGCTTCCTCATGTAAATTGCCCACCTTCAGGGCCTCCCATAACACTTTCATAAGACTAAAGATCAGCACTTTGACTTGGCCACTTCAAAACCTCAACTTCTGCTTTAAGCAGAAAAAAAATTGTAAACCACTTAGAGAGGGCTGAAAGCCCTATGAAGCGGTATATAAGTCTAATAAATAAATAAATAAATAAATTATTTGGTCCTGTGACCGTGTTTTGGATCACTGCCTTCCTGCATGACCCACTTTCTCTTGCGCTTCAGTTCATGGCAGATGTTTTCATTTAGAATTTACTGGTACAATTTGGAATTAATTGTTCCATCAATGATGGTACGCCATCCTGGTCCAAAGGCAGCAGAATAGGCCCAAAGTACGATATCGTTACCACCATATTTCACAGATGAGATAAAATTCTTATGCTGGAATGTAGCGCTTGCCTTGCTCAATGTAATACTTTTCATTCAAGGCAGAACATTCTGTTTTAGTCTCGTCCGTTCACAGAAATTCTTCCAACAGCCTTTTGTGTTATATGGTTTTCACAAACTGTAGATGGAGCAGTGTTGTTTTTGGAGAGTAGAGATTTCTGCCTAACAGTAAACTATCGGGGGTCCAAAACGTTTGGAAATAGTTTCTTAATCTTTTCCAACCTGTCGAGTATCAACTGTTTTTGAAGGTCCTCAGAAATCTCTTTTATTCAAGCAATGACATCCCTGTGTGGAGATGAGACTTCTAGTGAATATCCAGAATTCTGTTCTTTAGATAAGGCAGGACTTCTTCTCCCTCTTACACTTCACTATCATCCCATTGATTGAAACACCTGACTCTTAATTTCCTCTTCAAATGAACTGATAATCCTAGAGGTTTGCACATGTTTGCCACACACCAATATGTAGCTTTGGATCATTTTCCTCAATAAATCAATGAACAAATAGAATTTTTAGTCTCATGTTTTTAACTATGTTCTTTATCTAGTTTTAGGACATGTTGTGAACAGGTCACATTTATGCAGAAATATTAAAAATTCAAACTGTCAGCAAACTTTTTTTTTTAAGTATTCCTCTCTTCTGCTGTGGTCAGAATAGTGTGGCCAGTTCTGAGACTGTATTTTATAAAAAGACATTAATAAATAATGTTGTCCAGAAGAAAGTAGCCAAGATGAAAACCCTGGATGGAAAAAGTTAACAGGAATGGTGGGAAGTGTTGTTTTTCAATGTGTTTAATCAATATTTGTCCCTTGCTTGGTTTGTTCACGTACATTTGTCAGATACATACGTCAAATTCATTTTTAACAGCTTCAGGTGCTTAGTCTTTTCATGGTATTCCAAAAATATTGAAGATCATCTTCAGATCATCAATCCATCCAAGAAGATTTGCTTTTGACAATAGTAGAACAGAATTACTTTGCATTTGCTCCCAGATCATCTCCAAAGCAGATAATTACCGTATTTTCACCCATATAACCCGCGGGTTATATGCGGTTTTTACATGCACAGCGCCCCCCCGCGGGTTATATGCGTGTGCGGGTTATTTGCGTGGGCGGGTTATATGGGTGAAAATACGGTAGCTAGGATTTCAACATGCTTTTTCACATTGTTGCAGTGAGGTTGTAGAGTAGAATTTTGGAATCCAATCCTGGGTGGAGAATAATGCAATGGATGCTGAAAAGATCAGCGGGAGGAGATGGCCAGAAATTCTGATGGTCAGCAAAGCATGCTGAAGTATCACAGAACAGAGGGAAACAGGTTAACAGCTGGTTAAGGTGCGGTGTCTGGCTTCTCTACATCTCTCTTATTTGTTTTTTCCACAAACGTTGCAGCTTCTTGATTTACCAGGAATTATCGAGGGTGCCAAAGATGGGAAAGGCAGAGGTCGCCAGGTCATTGCTGGTGAGTGCTGGTGGTCCCAAGGCAAAAGGGACTGGCTGGCAAAGAGAAGAGAAGAGACGTGTGCTTGGTTTTTTTTCAGTTGCCCGAACCTGCAACCTCATCCTGATTGTTCTGGATGTTCTGAAACCTTTGGGACATAAGAAGATAATTGAGAGTGAGTTGGAGGGCTTCGGGATACGTTTGAACAGCAAACCTCCCAATATTGGCTTTAAGAAAAAGGACAAAGGAGGCATTAACCTCACGGCCACAGTAAGTAGAGGTACGGGTAGGATGTTTCCTACCTTGCTGTGCATAAGAAATCTGATCTGATAAATTTGTACTTGTGGCCATTTGCTATCTGTGAAGGAATGTCTGAAAGGGATCTGTGGCAACAGTCCCTGAGTCCCAGCAAGGGCTCCCTTTGAAATAAGAGCTCAAGAGTTTTGTTCAGTCATGACAGCAGTGAGATGGGAAGAGAAGCAGGCCCTTCTCTTTGGTCAGGACACTCTTTTAGGGTTCTGTGAAGGGCTTCTGAGGAGACCTTCTGCTCCAGGTTAGCTACTGAGACGTTTGTTTAGCATTCCTGCCACCTGGGTGTGTTGTGGCCAACTCCTATCCTGGTGTGTGAAGCTCATTAAGCTAAGCCTACAAGTCCATGTGCTTCAGCCCTGATCCAGTCCCTGTTGTGGTCTGAAAGGTTCTGTGTATCACCATATTTTGATTGATCAGTGTCCGCAGAGTGAGCTGGATATCGAAACTGTGAAGAGCATTTTGGCAGAATATAAAATCCACAATGCTGATATCACCCTGAGGAGCGATGTAACTGCAGATGACCTCATTGATGTGGTTGAAGGAAACAGGTAGTTTTCATGGGCTGATAAAGAAGGGTGGGTCGGAGGGGGGAGTTCTCTTGTTGCATGGCAGAGAACTGGGGTATCTTACAACATCGCAGCTTTTTTGCTCTAAGCTCAAAGGGGCCTTCCCTGCAGTGAAAGTAGCAGGGGCCTCTCTTGGCTTCCTAACAGCTGATTGGTTAGTAGGACTATAGTAAATAGGCTGGATGTAACTTACAGGCAGAATCTCTTGCTCTACCAACTTGGTTATTGTAACTACCTAGAATTGGAAGTCTCCTACCTCTCAAGATAGGAGATAGGAAGCACCCCTGTCTCTTACATTTTTTGCTCACTTCTTCATCCTTGCAGAGTTTACATCCCATGCATTTATGTGTTGAACAAAATTGATCAAATCTCCATTGAGGAACTAGACATAATTTACAAAGTGCCCCACTGCGTTCCCATCTCTGCTCATCATCGGTGGAATTTTGATGACCTGCTGGAGAAAATCTGGGATTACCTTAAACTTGTGCGGATGTAAGTCTTGGTTTGTCAGAGCTCAAAATCTCGGTCATTCCAGTTCCTTTAAAAACGTTCCCTAGTGCCAATTTCCCCTCAACTCTGAAATCTCAACTGTGTTCTCTTGACCCTCAAAGTTCCTGGTAATTCTCTGGGGGCCAAAATTTCAGCAGTTTTTCAGATATGCAGGATTGTAGTCAGAAAAAAAAGTTTGTGTTGGAATCATTCAATTCTGTTCTGTAAAAAGGTCCATGATATTTTTAGGATTCAGAATGATTTTTTTTTCATAAGACGGAGGACATGCTCCAGCACTTATTTATATATAGAAAATGAATGTGTTACAGAGAAGACCAGCTCAAATCTTTTTCGCTGACATGTAGTTGTTTGGCAGGTGGAAATTATTCTGGTAGAGGGGCCTTTCTTCCTGCTCGGTCACTTGTTGGGGTACGCTTTGGGTTAACCTCTATTTGTAATAATAATTATAAAGAGTAATCTTGATTAGAAAGGGGGCTTATCTGAAAGCATAAATGCTTGATAAAGGAACGTTTCATTATGTTTAATTGCAGTTACACTAAACCCAAAGGGCAGCTCCCAGATTATACTTCTCCAGTGGTCCTGCCTGACTCTCGGACCACCGTGGAGGATTTCTGCATGAAGATTCATAAAAACCTAATTAAAGATTTCAAATAGTAAGTATGGTCTGCAAACAGCCAATTCAGTTTCTTTAGTACTGATGATGTTCATCCATCGTGTCTGAAGAGGACCGTGACATCTATCAGGTTGTGGGCTGTCCACGATGTGTCCGCCGGGGGCTGGTAAGGCCTATATGGGCATGAAATGTTCTGCCACATTATAGTAGAGGTGGGAGTTGTAGTCCTGCTTGGGGAGGTGTTCAGTGTCAGAGGGGGCAGCCGCTGCCCAGAGAGCCTTAGACCAATTGTGATGCAGGAGAAGGTATTGAAAGGCAAGCCAAGCCATCCATCCATCCATCCATCCATCCATCCATCCATCCAAATGCTTAAGTCAAGATAAATCAAGATTATCTACCATATTCTCCTAATCTATGAAGGAAGTTACTTGATTAAAATATAAGATTAATGCAATAACAAATCCATGCCATTAACTCTGTGCTAACTCTTTCCTTCCAGTGCTCTTGTATGGGGCTCGTCTGTCAAGCACAACCCTCAGAAAGTGGGAAAAGATCATACTATGGAGGATGAAGATGTCATTCAGATAGTCAAGAAATAAAATCAAAAAATTCCTCTGGCCCATCAATCACGATTCCTTTAAAAAAAGACTTAACTATGGAACTTCCTGGCCTACCAAATGGTTGAGTGAATGCGAACACAACTGTGGAAATTTGTGGACTGATTAAATTATTTTTCCTGAGGTGGGCAGGAGAGCATTGCAAACAGGTGGCTTTGAATGCTGTTTAATTGAATCCACATTTTTGCCCTAGGAAGAGTTCAGTCAATGGAGCTTTTATGCTGCCGACGTAAATTAGGATGCAAATGTAAAACTTTCCCTCATTATCACTTGGGGATTTGTATACAAAAGTGATGGTCCTGTCCTTGTTAATGTAAATAAAATCTACAGGCAAAAGCTCAGAGAGGATGTTCTTGTCAAAAGGGCTTAGGTGATGCTTAAAAATAGGCAGCCTTGTCATTTAATTCTTTGAGCATGTTAAGATTCTGCAAAATTGCAGTTGACATCAAGAAAATCAGTCCCTAAAGGGATTTGAAAGAAATTGCTGAAAGGAAGATCAAATATTTCTGGATTACAAAGAATTACTACAACGGATCATAAGAAGTTTCACCAAGTCTAGCAGTTCACCAGCATTGACTTTCTTACACATTTCATCCAAATACGAAGTGGGGAAAACCCCTTGAACACTCTTAACCGGAATAGACCAAGAGGATATAAAAAAGGACTGATTGGTTGGTGTTCCTGTGAAATATCACTTGAGAAAGATACAAATACTCCAGTAGACCTGAGTTGCCCTCATTTGTCCACATGCCCTCTGCCACTGTGGAAAATCAGTGAGTTGCCTTAGAATTACCTTGATTGATATTTTTTTTAAAGAACTCCCAGACAGTGAGGCAAATGGTGAACGACAAATGAAGTTAAGTCTCGGTGAGAAATTGAAATGAAACCCAAGAAAATAAATGATTGTCAATTGGTCCTACCTGAACTGCATGTCTCGAGGGTGGTGTGGGAGCAGTCACTGAATGGGTATTGTTACGGACCAATTGCCTGGAGACTGAGGTAAATCAGAGGACACTCCCTCTTCCTCCTGGTGACTCCCCAGATTAACCGATGATTCGGAAGAAGGACCTGGAAGGGAAGAGAAGAAAAAACCAACGGCAGCTTCCCTTCCTGAACCGTGGATGGTCTGTGGTTGCCTACTCAGGCCCGGCGCTGGCGCCTGAAGGGCGTGAAGTGACTGCTCCCACACCACCCTCGAGACATGCAGTTCAGGTAGGACCAACTGACAGTCTCTGAGGTGGGGTGTGGGAGGAGTCACTGAATGGGACATACCAAAGTTAGATGTCCATGGGAGGGATTATTGGGCCTGAGTTTCCTGAGTGTTCAGGACACCCTGCAGAACCGGCCTCTCGATGGATGCCTCGGCCGAGGCATATGTATCTAGCCAGTAATGCCTGATGAAGGCTGAAGGAGAGGCTAAGGTGGCCGCACTCCTTATGGAGTGTGCAGTAATGCCCTGTGGCACGGGCAGCCCTCGGGCCTCGTAGGCCTTGGAGATGGCCAACCTAATCCACCTGCTGATGGTGGTAGGCGAGACCTTGGCGCCCTTGGAAGCGGTGTGGAAGGAGACAAAGAGGGCCTCCGAGCGTCTGAAGGGGGCTGTGCGCTTGAGATAAATGCGCAGGGCCCTTCTTATGTCTAGGCGGTGCCAGGACTTTTCCCTCTCGGAAGAAGGGTGAGGGCAGAAGTCCGGAAGAATGACCTCTTCCCATCACCGCTACTTTTTGTCCTAACACTAGAGGTCTTAAATAGAAAGATTAGAGAAGAAGAAGAAATAAGAGGAATGAAAATTAAGAGAGAAGAGTATAAACTGCAAGCGTTCGCAGACGACTTAGTTTTCATTCTTGAAGATCCATTAGAAACCTCACCCAAATTGTTAGAAAGAATAGAGGAATATGGAGAAGTAGCAGGCTTGAAAATAAACAAAGATAAAACAAAGATCATGACAAAGAATATCCCAGCTACACAAAAGGTTCAGTTGTCAGAAATGTTGCAGATTCAAAACACAAGTAAAATTAAATATTTGGGGATACATTTATCACCTAGATGTAGCACTCTTAAAGAGGATAATTATACCAGATTAAAACGACAAATAGCAATCGATTTGGAGAAATGGGAAAACTTGCATTTATCAATGATGGGAAGAATTTCTACAATTAAAATGAACATTCTACCTAGAATTTTCATTTTAATTGTAGAAATTCTTCCCATCATT